CCAATATATTAAATTTAGTATAATGTTTTTAATAATAAGTTTATTTACAATGCTGCTCAAAGGATAAACAACTGTGTTGGAGAGCGAAATCAAAAGTACTTTATTCAATTTCTGGTCTATGTTGGAATATTGGCCCTCTATGCACTAGGGTTGGTGATTACATCGTGGATTTTAGATTGTTCTCGATGCAGTAATGACATAGCTGTTAAACAGAGCCGCATGTAGGTGTACTTTACATATTTAATTATTATATCAAAATTTTTAAACTATATATACCTTTAAAGAATAGTTACAATTTTAATTATATTTTTATAAAAATTAAATTTTCATTGCTAACAAAATACTAAAATTATATATGCTAAAATAATATAGGGAGATAGTTTAATATGGAAGACTAAATACTTGTGAATTGTTTTCTATATGACACTAATTTTACATACAAAAGTGTGTTTGAATTTAAAAGTTATTTGACATGAGCACAGAAACTTGTTGTCAAAAAGAAAAAAAATTAATCTAGAAGTTTTTTCTGCAGCTTACACTGTGTTATATTGGTATTGGAATCAGCACTGTTTGGCATGTTTATCATCGCAATGCTGGTAGACCAATTTCAAGGTATCCTGGGAGAAGAAAACACAATGGAACATGTGCAGAATAATCATCATTATAAAAAAAACAGTTCACGTACTTTGCTATTACTTTCTCAGGTTTGTGGCAAGAGCCATCCAGTTCTCTGGATGTTTCCTTGCCAAAACCCTCCACGTTATACTTTCCGAAGAGATGCGTACCTGATTGATCACGAAGTTTAAGTGAATATTTAATCACATTTTGAGAAGTGTGTGCTTCTTTTATCGCTTTATTTGCTATAAATACTTTATGTATTTGAGGAGGTCCGTCATTTAAAGTACACAAACGCCAATTCCTACAGAATTGAGATATTATTATATATTACAAAATTTGGAAAATGGGAAAGGAAGACTTACACATACCTAAATGTGATTGAAAACTTATTATTTAAGAGTAGATACCTCTTAGTATTAGGATTTTTTTATTTACCTTTAATTTTTTAATAGGGTTACAAATTTTTATTAAAGCAATTTTACACTAAGTTACCAAAGGGAAAAAGGGAAAATATAAGAAGGCTATTTTGAAGTTCAAACGTAAATGAATTTTGTGTTATTACTACTAAATTATTGCTTGATTCTTTACCAGATCAGATGAAGCAATAGTTCAAGATGAATTATTGCACCAATAAATTTTTTATTAGTTTGTGGATCATTCCATAACATTAAATACATCTAAATGTACTTGCAAGTTTGATACTCATATAATTGAATCAAGTATTAGTAATTGTATCGAATGTAACATTAATGAATGGATATTCAACAAAATCTTAGTGAAGCTTGCAAGAATGTGCATGTAAACAAATTATTCAATATATATTTCACAAAATTTTGTCATAAATGTATATCTAAGGCGAATGACAAAATAT